GCTGCTCCATAGCATAGTCTTCCTGCTGTTGTTCAGGGCTAAGGGGTTCTTCACAATACTCCAAAATACTCTCTCCATCGCCGATAAATGTCCTCATCATTGGTAAGAGGGTGCCCATGCCTGTCCTTCAAGACTGAGACTGCCCTTCTTTTCACCTCGCAACCGGCGAACGGTCTGCCAGAATACCTTTTTTGCTGTCTGGAAATTCGACTCCAGCATCTCACCGAACTTCTTCAGTCATTCAGTTTTGGCATTCCCCACTTCTTTCGCTGCGGCATTGCCTACCTTGACATATCGCACGCGAGTATAAGGCTCTTTTTTGCCAAGCAGATTGTTGAACGCTGCTTCCTTCTCTTTAACTGTCAGTTGCACCTCTTGTGCCCACCAGAAAGATCTTTTCTGACCTCCAGGCGGCAGGCCAACCCGTTTAAATCCGCAGCATTTTGCGGCAGCCTCGAGTTTGCCGCTCATGAAGAGCTGCCACTCGGTTTCAACATCAGTTGTCATCACTGGGATCTGTTCAAACCTTCGTGCGATGTTGTTTGCAAATTTCGCTCTCGTGTCCACCAAAGATAATGTTTCCCATTTGATTCTCAGGTTGCTTCTGCCACCAGGTCTTCTTATGGTACTCCGTTTCTTACAGCGCAGCGTGCCTACAACAAGGTGATGATCGGTTGATATCTCTGCACCTCTCTTAACACGAACATCCATTACTAAGCGTCTTAAGTCAGTACGTGTACTGATGCACTCTTCGATGGTCGAATAAGGTGTTCATAATGGACAGTCCGTTGTTTGCACAAAACCGCAACAACTTCATGCCATTGTTGTTGAGGTCGCTAGGGCCGTTTTTCCCAATCACGCCATTCCAATTTTCAATCGCCCATGAGTATTGAGGTCTCCGTATTCGGCGTTTCGGATAGAGCACACAAAATTGAACTTCCTCAGGGAAGGAATGATATTCTCCCTCTAAATTTGGCGCATAGGCCTGTACCATGATCAACGCTTTAGCTTGTTGTACCTTCACTCGGAGGATTCCCACCCTTCCTCTGACAGGCTTGCAATCAGTGATTCTGTGTTCGTGGTTGGGTTCTACTAGAACACCGATACCGGCTGAGGCGCACGTCGTGATATCGAAACCTGAGTAGAATTGATGATTGCTGTTGATTTTATGTGTAAGACAAACGCTACAAGCTTAGGCTGCAGTGACTGGCCATTAATCGGTGATATCGAAACTGGGCTGCCTTTGGACGGAACAATTTCAGTCCATTACAGGTATGTAATGGTTACCACTCTCAACGGTAACACATGCACTGATTGAAAACTTGAGCACGAAACGGTCATTCTACATTTCTGAGTAGTAAAAATCGACTGGCACGTTATCATTGATAAATTTAGGTTATTTAGTGAAGTTGGGTCCTTCACTTCAAAGTATATAAGCGATCTTTGCGCATATATTTAGAAGCAGTTGCTTTCTAGATTTTTCCTTTGTTGCTGTTTCAAACTTTA